CTTTCCCGAGTATTTTTTATTCAGTTTTTCGTCGAACATCCTTCTGCTTCTCTCCGTCCATTCCAAGCAGTCTCCCCGCTGGTCTGCCACTGCCCTCGCCCCGCTTCTCCTCTCCCGACCCCCCTCCCGTCCCGCCACCCTGCACGGCAGCCTCCTCCAGCATCCTCCCCGAGCCGACCCCCCGGCCTCACTCAGTACTCCCGCGGCCTCACCGGCCCTCCCCGTTCTCGCCCGCTCTCCGTTCCCCCGCTCCCCGCCTAGGGGCAGCACCCCCTGGCGAGCCGCGGCAGAAGCGGCATGCCCCCCTCCCCCGAGGCCTGCTGTGCAGGCGCCGCGGCCCGGCGGCGTCGGCCGCGCTGCCGGTGCGCGGCCGCGGCTCGTTCTTTTGTGCCTGCTGGCCGCTTCCCTCGCCACCTCCAGCCGCCGCCTGCGGGGGGGGCCAGGAACGGAGACATGCCAGCCGTGCCGATGCGTGAGGGCGATGGAACGAATCGACGGTGACCAAGACCAGCATGTATCGGGTATAGCCAGGACCCCAGGCAAGGGGACCCGGTTAGTGGTAGGGCCCCGGGGCCTTTGTGGAATTGGCCAGAATCACTAAACCAGGTCTGCCGTAGCTGGTGTTTTTCGGGTGACGGCAGTTCCGCTTAGTGGAACGGGGCGGGGGGCGCCTCCCCCAGTACACATCACTAAACCAGGTTCCACTAAACCCAGTTCTGCCAAAGCCCGAATGTATGTAACCAAGATCGACACGGGCGTCCGCGTTCAGTCTTTGTCATGGTCCTTGTTTTCTCCCTCTCCAGAGCGGCACAAGCATTAACTTTTGGAGCTCCGCGCGGATTTCTTGGATCGGCGCTGGAACCGACCCTGGCGGCGTCTCGGGCGTCGCCCTTGGCGTGCTCCGCGCCCCAGTTCACAACGTCTCCCTGGTGCGCGCAGCGCGCCAGGGGCGGCGCCCGAGGCGCCTCCAGGGGGCCCAGCGCCGATCCAAGAACTCCTTGTGGAGCTCCGGAAGTTCATGTCTATGAACCTTTTTCCCCTACCTAGGCTCTGCCTAGAAGGGTTCTTACTCTCTGAGCTTAAAGGGCCGGGCAGTGGAAAGCGCCCCGGGCGTTTCCCCCAGTATCCGCCCCGCGGTTCCCCCAGTTACGTCCCCTTAGCTTAGCGTTTCGTACCTCATCATGACTTAACTTATTCATCTTAGCTTAGCTTAGCTTCATCTTAGCTCAGGTTTATCTTAGCTTAGCTTAGCTTACCTTCATCTTAGCTTCGCTGAGCTTTAGCATAGCAGAGCACAGCATAGCATACCATAGCGTAGCATATGCAGCATAGCATAGCGCAGCACATCATATCATAGCATAGCCCAAAAGAGCATAGCATAGCGCAGCATAGCATAGCATAGCATAGCATAGCATAGCATAGCGCAGCACAGCACAGCACAGCACAGCACAGCACAGCATAGCATAGCATAGCATAGCATAGCGCAACTTTACATAACATAGCATAACATATCATATCATAGCGCAGCATGACATAGCATAGCTGAGCATAGCATAGCACAGCATAGCGCAGCATAGCATAGCATAGCACATCATAACGCAGCATAGCATGGCATAACATAGCATAGCATAGCATAGCAACTAATGCTGCTTTCCTAGGGGCTCCAACTTCTAGGTAGGGTCGCACTGGGCCAATTTTGCATATCGTGTTGCAATCTCTGTATTTCCCTACCTAGGCTCTGCCTAGAAGGGTTCTTACTCTCTGGGCTTCAAGCGCCCTGGGCGGTTCCCCCAGTATCCGCCCCGCGGTTCCCCCAGTTACGTCCCCTTAGCTTAGCGTTGCTTATCTCATCTTAGCTTAGCCTAGCTGGACTTGGCTTAGCTTAGCTTAGCTTAGTTTAGCTTAACCTAGCCTAGCTTAGCTTAGCTTCGCTTGGCTTCGCTTAGCTTAGCCTAGCCTAGCTTAGCTTAGCTTAGCTTAGCTTAGCTCAGCTTAGCCAAGCGCAGCGCAGCGGAGCATTAGCATATCCTGGCATATTATAGCATTCCATAGCATAGCATAGCGCAGCATATCATATCGCATTATATCATACCATATCATGCCATATCATGTCATAGCATAACGCGCCATATCATATCATATCATAGCATAGCATAGCTTAGCTTAGCATCGTACAGCGCATCATATCATATCATATCATATCATATCACATACTCGCATATCATATCATATCATCGCGCAGCCTAGTATATCATACCACAGCAACACATCACAGTACATCACAGCATATCACACCATATCATACCATATCATATCATATCATATCATACCATAGCATAGCGCAGCATAGCATAGCGCAGCATGGCACATCAAACCACTACCACCATCAAGCAACCACACAACGATACGCACATCAAACACAACAGCAACAGCAACCGCAAACGCAAAAAGGCAATGCATGGCAACGTAAACTCAGCACCAATGCGAACTTGTAGATGTAGATGTAGATGTAGGTGTAGGTGTAGCTGTGGATGTACGTGTATATGTATATGTAGATGTAGATGTAGGTGTAGATGCAGATGTAGATGTAGATGTAGATGTGAGTCTCGCTGTTGATGTTGATATAGATGTAGATGCAGGTGTAGATGTTAATGTAGCTGTCGGTGTAGCTGTAGATGTTGCTTTCCTAGATGCTCCAACTCCTAGGTAGGATCGCACTGGGATAATTTCAGTTTTTGTTGTTCAGAGTAGTGCAGTGCTAATTTTAGTGATAAGAGTCGGTGTAGGCTTGCTTGTTCATCGACTGGAGCTCCCATAGCGTTCATGCTCATGCTCATGCTGCTGCTCCCGTCGCCACCGCGGCTGCCGCCCGCGGCCCTCCCCAGGAGAAGTCAATGATGCGGCGCGGGCAGGCGGGAAGAGCGTGAGGAGAGGGGCTCTCCCCCTTCTATCTCTCCCCCTGCCCTCTCTGGTTCTCTGCGCTGCTGTCTGCATGCCCCATCGCGAGGAGGAGGAAGAGGTGGAGGAGGAGGAGGAGAAGCCACGAGCGGCGAACGTATCAATATCCACCCCTCGCGGTCTGGAT